AGCCTACTCTTAAATGTGGAGAGAATAAGAATAAAACCCACCCAGACAGCAACAACATCCTGATCCCTTCAGAATAAAACCCACGCAGAGAGCAACAACATCCTGGGTAATAGTTAAAATAATAATGTCCTCTCATATTCATCTAAAGTACGAAGACTGCTGCTTAATGAATAACCTATTATTATTATTTAAGGTTGCATCCTGTTTGTGTTGTTTGAATTTGAAAGTTTTTAGAGGAAGTAGTTAAAGTTAGCTGAAGTTGGTTTTAAGTTTCAACTCAACAGTCAGAGACTCAGTTTGGTTCAACACTTCACACAGTGAGTACGGCAGCTTTTCTACAGTAATACTACAGTTATACTACAGTCAGTACTGACAGTTATACTACAGTATTACTATACTAACAGTAATACTAACAGTTTTACTACAGTTAATTACTACAGTTAATACTACAGTAATACTACAGTAATACTATACTACAGTTATTACTAGAGTTATACTACAGTAATACTAACAGTTAATACCTATGACTAAGCAGTAATAACTACAGTTATCCACTACAGTAATACTACAGTAATACTACAGTAGTATTTGAAGCAGTATAAATACTTCTGATGGCTAAATGGGGAGAAGGAGATCCTCGATGGATTGTTGAAGAGAGAGCGGACGCCACCAACGTGAACAACTGGCACTGGTCTGTTATTATTATTATTGTTGTTGTTATTGTTGTTATTATCTTTATTATTATTAAATATGAACCGGCAGAGGCTATTTGAGGGTTTAGGTGTGTGTAATGAGGGTCCTCACTTGTATACAAGAACAAACGTGTGTGTGTGTGTATTAGTGTGTGTGTGTGTGTGTGTGTGTGTGTTATTCGACCCTCCTGCTCCGTCAGCACATGCTCAGATATTTTTAAACAGCTGATGGATGACAGATGATGATGTCAGAGAGGTGGGCGGGGCTACAGGAGGTAGAACTGTCTGGAAACATTAACCCCCTCTCGTCTGTCTCTCTCTCTCTGTGTGACCTCATCAGGACGGAGCGTGATGTCAGCGGCTGGTCATCGGAGCGCCTCCGTCAGCTGCTGCTGGCGGTGCAGGTGAAGGGACCAGAGGGTGTCTGTCAGCTGACCGATGTCTCCAAACTGGACGGAGAAGCTTCCATCAACAACCGCAAAGGAAAACTGATCTTCTTCTACGAGTGGCAGCTGAGAGCCAACTGGCTAGGTCCGTGTGATGTCACTGATGATGTCACACTTACATTGTTTATTATTTATTGAAGCTCAGTCAGCAGCTGTTTGATCACTGAGTTAACTAAAGCTAGCAACAGGCTAAGCTAATGCTAGTAGATAATCCTGGAAAGCAGGACTTCCGGTCTTTTTCCTATCTGGTTCGTGCTAGCTTAGCACATTTTGACAGCAACACATGTTGTTACGACAAGTATGTAATATTTTGTTATAATTATAATATTATTAACAAGAAATTCAATTCAATTTCAGAATTGCTCCAATTTGAATAGAGTCATAGGAAAAGAAATCTGTATTTATGGATTTGGAAATTAGCCAATCATGCAAGGATCTCTTCCGTGGAGCTGACTGTTTCCTGTTTCCTGTTTCCTGTTGCCTGCTTCCTGTCTCAGGGACGTCCAGCAGTGGACTGAAGTACAGAGGAACTGTTGACGTCTCCAACCTGTCAGACGAAAACGACACTGACGACCTTGATGTGAGTCAATTTCCTGTTTCTGATCACTTTATCATTCACAGATTGGTACATTGATGACTGTATTGATTAGTATATTGTTTGATATTGATGATAACCCCTTCCAGATCTCAGTGTCTCTGTGTAAAGACCAGCCCAGCACACCACTCTTGGACCTGATGAGGAGGTCTGGGGTTCAGGAGGTCCGGAGGGCTCTGGGAGACTACATCTGCCAGCTCAAATCAGGTCTGTTACCCAGAATGCCCCAGGAGCAGCAATCCGTGAGAAGGTTCCCTGTTGTAACCTGAGTGACCTCTGACCCCACAGAGTTCAGTCAGGGGATGATCCTTCCCACCACCGACGGACCCAAACCGCCTCAGTCTGAGACCAGGAGGAACCAGATCCAGACCAGTAAAACCCAGGTAGACATCAGTGAGTCAGATTCTGATCCTGATCCAGGAGTGGAAGTGACCTCTGACTTCTCTGTGTGCTCTTACAGATAAGCCCCGCCCCCAGAAGCCCCTCTAGCTCCACCCCCTGTCCCACAGGAGTCCGTATCTCAACCTGCAGCTTCAGTCTGAAGGAGACCTTTCAGACCTCCCCAGGGGAGGTCTACAGGACCTTCATCAACCAGGAGGTACCAGACTAGACCAGGACAGTACTACTACAGTACTACTACAGTACATTACTGCAGTACAATACTTCAACTAACTGTGGCTGACTCAGCAGTATATTACTGTAGTATTGTGGTTTCAATTCACATTCAATTCAGTTTTATTTGTATAGCACCAATTCAATTCACAATTCAATTCAAATTTCAATTTTATTTGTTTAGAGCACCAATTCCGTTCAATTCAATTAATTTTTATTTTTGTATAGTGCCAATTCATAACAGAGTTTATTCTTTCAGCGTACACTTTTCAAAATTAGGGCAGGTCTAGACCGAACTCCTTATAACACTTTACGGAGACCAACAGTACCACCATGCAGCCCAAGACCTCAGGACAGGAGGAGAAGGGAGAGAGAGATGAGAGAGAGAGGAGAGAAGACAGGAGAACAGAGGAGATGGTTCAGGACTCACCTGACTCCAGCCCTTAACTATAAGCTTTATCAAAGAGGAACGTCTTAAGCCTACTCTAAATGCTGGAGAGGGGTGCTCTGCCTCCCGAACCAAAACTGGGAAGCTTGGTTTCACAGGAGGAGAGGCTTGCGTAACTTGAAAGGCTCTTGGCTCCTGTTTCTACTTTTAGAGATATAGGAAACCACAAGTAGCCTGCATTATGAGAACGCAGTGTTCTAGAGGCTGTAATAAGGTACTATGAGCTCTTTAAGATATGAAAGGGCCTGACCATGAAGGCTCTTTGTAGGCTGAGGAGGAGTATTTTTAAATTCTATTCTGAACGTTTTACAGGCGAGGCCAGTGCCAGAGAAGCTATTACAGGAGGAGATGTCGATCTCTTTTTCGCTGTTCCTGTCAGTACTCGTGCTGCAAGCGTTCTGAATTAATTTGAGCGTCTTAATGGGACTTTTTGGGGGCAACAGATTAATAAGGGAGTTCGCAAGTAATCCAGTCTAGAAGTAACAAATGCATGGGTTATTTTTTTCTGCCCATCGCGTCTGTTACAGGGATGTGTTCTAATTTTTGTATTGTTAGAGGCCAAGGTAACTACCATTCTTTTTTAGCAGTAACTTTATATCTATATATATATATCTATATATATATATCAGTATATATATATATATATTTAGACAGTGGCTGTCGTCGGGAGGTGTTTGGGGGCCAAAAGTAAACCAAAGAATTTCGTTAACACAGAAAATTGCAGGCTCATCCAGGATTTTATTGCTCCTTAGACATGTTTGTAATTTAGGATAATTTGATAATTTCATTGGGCTTGATTGATAGATATAACTGCGATTCATCTGGCATAACGTAAAGTTAATGGGAGTGATTCCTAATAACTTGTTCCTAAGGGAGCACTATATTAAAGTGGAATAAGAATTGGTCCAAGTACAGAACCTTGGTGGAACTCCTATGACTGTTGTATTTATAAAGGATTCATCAGTTGTAACGTTGTAGAACTTTGGAGAACGATCTGATAAGTATGACTTAAACCACTTAGTGCAGTTCCTTTAATAGCATTTTGCATGGCTCAAGTCTCTGTAAAAGAATTATTCATGGTACATGCGTGTCAAATGTGGCACTAAGATCTAATAATACAAATACAGAGACAAGTCCATTTGGTTGGAAGCAATCAAAAGTCATTATTAACTTTAACCAGAGCTGTCTCTGTGCTGCTGATGAACTCTAAATCCTGGGGACTGAAAAGCTATTTTATGTAGAAAGTCACACAACTGGCTTTGGGCGACTACTTTCTCCAAGAATCTTTAGAGAGGAAGGGCGAGGGGTTAGAAACTCGCGTTCTATAGTTGGGGTAAAAATCCCCTGGATCAAGAGGGTGGGCCTTTTAAGAAGGCGGTTTAATTACAGCTACTATAAAGGACGGTGGTACATATCCTGATAATAACGAAAGATTAATCATATCTAGTAAAACAAAGTGCCAATAAGGGTACGGACTGTCTTTAAGCGACCCTAGTTGGGATGGCGGTCTAACGACAGGTTTGATGGCTTTGTGAAGAAATTATTGAAGTTAGTGATGAAGCATCGGATAGGCAGAAAAACAGGTCTAAATATTATTTATCTGATTTATACATTAGTTTAAAGTTCCTGCAATTTGGGAGAGCCAGTGTATACCTGTTGGGAGGGGCATTTGCGTGACTAATTTTCTCTCTAATAGTAATTTTTTTAAAAAAAATTTTATTATGTAACAGCAAAGCCTCATGAAATTCATT